TACAACAGCAGTTGAATATTGAAGAAACGTCCCAGTCCAGTCCAGATCAAGTCCAGAACTCTGTAAGATATTAGCCCATATGTCCGATAGCAATCTGTAAAGTCCTCTTCAGACTCACAGACCACATGCAATGGCACCGAGTGCAGGACCATCACAGGCAGTGGGTAGAAGCAAGTCTTATGGACCCAGTGGCAGTGTAAGCATCTCAGCGCTGTCGGGGGTCTCCACGTGGTTCTCCAGCTTCCATGGCTGCATCAGGGTAGGTCCACATGGCTTCTCCTCAGGGATGTCTCACAGGGAGTCTTCAGAGAGTCTCTCACACCGCCAAGGAGGGAAAACCAGGAGAAAATCATGCCACACAGAGGCCTAACTGGTTACATCTTGATTGTCAGGCCAGACCCCACCCCTTCCTTCACTCTATACTCCTGTCAGAGTGACACCAGATTATGCAACTACCACACGGGGAGACCAGAGATTGCTCACATTTTGAACCTGACAGTCCTTTGTGGGGTCTGACTGTGCACTTTGAGATGTGTGTCAGCACCCCTGGCCTCTAATGCACCATATGCAGAGGGTAGAACAGCCCTGACAGTAAGCTCACGTCCCTGTGAATTTTCAACTGCTCCTCTTGAGAATGGTCCCTGACCCCATGAACACATCCTCTGGACAGGGTCAGGCGGCATCGGCAGTCTCCATCAGCCGCAGGCTTCTGCTGAAGCAGCCAGCTCACCCTGCTGGCTCGCTCGCTCGCTCGCCTGCCTCCAAGCTAAAAGCTGCTCTCGGACTTCTACCCACCCCGATCGATGCAAGGCAGCCAGCCCGAGCCCGGCTGTCCCCACCCCCATGCAGAGCTGCCATGGCCCCATCACTCTACTGACCTCACTGGCCAGCCTGCTCCCTCCTGGGTCGTCATGCCTCCCATCTTAGTGCTCACCTCTGCCTGGTACCCCACAGAGCAGGTCCTTCCCTGTGACTTGCTGTTTCAGGCCTTTGTCCAGTCCCTGCAGAACTATTGTCGCAGGCTGTGGCGACTTTATTCCACTGAAATAGCTTCCC